AACCGAGTTGAATACGACGCCGTTTTCCAAGGCGCCAACACATAAGACCCGCTGCGGACTTTTCCACGTTATCTGATATCTTAAAAACAAGGTACTCAGCTCTTTGAGCTCAAAAGCAATGGCTTCGCCTTTGCCTCCGTCCCTCCCTCTGCTCTCACCCCTCTCCAAACCTTCACCACCTCAACTGGTGGGGCAGACCGGATTCTTCACCCGACTCGGAAGGCTTATCAAGGAGAAGGCCAAGAGCTACGTGGAGAAGCTCTTCTCGGGATTCTCCAAGACTCACGATAATCTGGCCGTCATCGACGAGCTCTTGCTCTACTGGAATCTCGCTTACACTGATCGAATCCAGTAGAGCAAACGCTTACACCGACCCGAAGCTCTTCTTTTCTTCTCTCCCTGTTTGTTTCTCGAGAAATTAAAAAAAAAATGCTTTCGTGGAAAATCTGATTATTACTGTTGTTTTCGGTTTCAGGCTCGGCTGGTGTGGGATTTTGGTCCAAAAATCACAATTAAGATTGTGGAAAGTTTGAGGGAGGACATAGTTGCTGGGAAGCTGAGATCTGGAAGCGAAATAAAGGTAATGGTAACAATTGAAAAGCCTTTTATGTTCATAGCAACATTGGCAGCATTTGAACCTTAGTTTTTATGAATTTTTATGACTTCAATTCATGCACCATTTACATGAAATTTTGGAAAAATGAAACGAAAAATCATCGCGTCAACAACTGCAAGCATTATATATAATTGTTTGGCTTAAAGTCTTAATGATGGCTGCATAAATGTTAAAAACAAAATCGAAGAGGCAGCGCTCATATGTGGTTAGCTATTTGCTTATGTTAAGTTGTTAGGTATATCACAAGTAAACTGAATTAGTAGAGATTGTTCTTATATATAAACACAAACCATGACATGAAACAGGCACGGACCCTTGCCTCCAATAGGGTTTTCTCAATATGTAACCCCTATTAGATTGGAAGTGAAATGCCTTAAAAAGTAAGAAACTAGTTTGAATCCCAATATTCTTACATTAGGTTCTCTTTTAATTAGTTACGTTAATGTACATGTAAAAAAGAAGAATAAGTTTATTTTATCATATGCTGATGCTGAAGATAGATGTGCTATTCAGTTAATGAAACCCGTACTCCTCGTCTCCAGACACCCACCAAATAAAAAAGAAGTAAAAATTAACACAATGCAAAGCAAACACTAAAGAACCCTGGATCTCAGAACATTTCAAGAACACCAAGTCTGCAAACCCAGCTTCAAACCTCTCGAGAATACAGAAATACCTGAAGAAACTTGCGTGTTATTTTTTTTCAAAACACTCCAAGCGAAAGTTTCTCTCACATACTCCTTGGATTTGAAGCTCTGCATCAGCTTAATCACCTGCAGATTTGGCACATCGATTTCTGGGTGCTTTGCCAAGTTATCGTCCTTCTTTGCATAGCAAACTCCCTCTGTTTAAATTAAATTCAATAAATTTTAACAAAAAAATGGAAATGAAGAACCAAATTTCCCTGCACCTTGCTGGGACTTGACAAGTCGCGTGGCTCGGTCAATGCAGACAATGAGATTACCTGTAACCTTAGGATCCAGAGTACCACTGTGGCCAGTTTTCCCTACTCGAAGGATGCGTGTAATCCAAGCGACAACCTCGTGCGAAGAGGGGTTGGTGGGGTTGTCACGATTGAGAACACCATATTGGTTGTACTCGGCTTGCGGACACTTAAGGGATGAATAGCCAGAGGGAAGAGGGGTGTAGTGTCCAGTTCGAACATTGAGGCGGTCATAGTTTTTGAGAAGGATAGGCCACTGAGAGGTGTCCATGGAGGGAGTTGAGCTCCGGGGCTTAATGAAGTCTTTGTCCAAATCATTGTCTGTATCTCTATGCTTTTTCTTCTTCTTCTTTGTATCTGCCCCTTTCGCCACAGCCTTTACTGGGATTCGATCATCAAATACAAATTTTATTCTGGGCAATATTTAAGAGCAAATAATCGCTCTGAAATTCCATTGTCAAACAAAACAAAAAAAAAAGCTTCATTAATACCCATAACAGAGGTATATTATATGCTTGGGGATAGTGGCTTTCCTAAACAAAGCATTATCATTAAGTTCCCAGACCAGAGATTAACACAAAATAGCAGGGGTTTTACAAATAAACTAGTTTCAGGTGCAGTGACATGTTAGGAACCCTTATCAGCTTCTAAAGACAAAAGAAGAGACTTTCACTTAAAAATCACTTCAAGTATTCATAACAGAAAACCCAAAAGAGGGCAAGTAGAAAATCAATACCTTTTACTTAAAAGCACCTAATTGGAATGGTTCGGCGGCGGCAGAGATGGAGAGCCAGATGTGCGGTGGCGTCGAGGAAGAGAAGAAACAAATAAATCATTTCACCACAAGGAGAAACAAATAAATCATTCCACCACAAGGAGAAACAAATAAATCATTCCACCACAAGGAAAAACAAAAGTAACAAAGGAAAAACAAAACACCTTTTTTATTTATTTATTGAGATGAAGACGAAATTTAATTACATAAATATCGGGTAAATACAGAAAAGTGAACAAGAAATATACCGGTAAATAAGGAGGGTTCTAGCCAGATTTAGAAATACATAAAAATAAACTATAATATTTTTCTCTCTCTTCTTTTATAACACTTTCATCTTTTTATTCTTAAAATAAACTATAATATTTTGCCCTCTCTTCTTTTATAACACTTCCATCTTTTTCTTCTTGAAATAAACTGTAATATTTTGCCCTCTCTTCTTTTATAACACTTTCATCTCTCTGCTTGCAGTGGTAATAGTGGGGCTGGCCAGCCCACACGGCGGTGGCGGCGGTGGCGGCGAAACAGAGAAAGGAGTTGATTCACAAGAGCCACCAATTTGGGGGCGAAAACGAGCAGCGTGAGCAGCAAGAAGCACAAAAGGAGAGGTAGCCAGGGCCAGGAGGAGGGTGGAGACAAGAGAAGGCCCAAGAGTGAAGCGACGGAGAGCGAGCCAGACGCAATGGACCAATTGCGAGGGCCCACTACGTCAGCATGGGGAGTGCCCTTGAGGAGCAGCTCGAGGCTGAAGGCCAAGGAATAAGCAATGACGCTACACAACATAAGTAGCATGAGTATAGGGTTGGTTTGGAAGAGAAGTTGGTCTGGAAATCGCACCTGGACCAACGTCATGACTGTGGGAATGGTGAAGCTAAATATGCCATGGTGGATCATAAATGTGGAAGCTGCGGGCATGGTTTGTTCTGCTGGAGAGTAGATGATTAACAACTGCAGCTGATGATTCACGAAAATATTATTAGTATTACTCTGAAAATTGTTCATTGCCATGTTTTGGGGGACCTGGAAGAGAGGGAGAACTTTTATAAAAGGCAAAACCTTTTCTTGAAGAACAGAGCAGAGAAAGAAATGGAGGTGTTTGTGAGCTCAGAAAATATCCAGAGATTGGACGGGGGAGGAATGGAATAGTTGTGGGCTTTCCACATAAAAATGCCTATGCTTGAAATCCACACATTTGGACATCCAAGATTCCACTTGCAGACGAAAAGCAACATCGCATAATCTAATTTCTCGGTAAATACATTAGGCGATGTTGCTTTTTGTTAATAAAAAGCCTACTTAATTATCATCTTCGTCCAGGTCTCCCCAAGCCAAACATTAGGCGATGTTCTTCAAGAAAAGGTTTTGCCTTTTATAAAAGTTCTCCCTCTCTTCCAGGTCCCCCAAAACATGGCAATGAACAATTTTCAGAGTAATACTAATAATATTTTCGTGAATCATCAGCTGCAGTTGTTAATCATCTACTCTCCAGCAGAACAAACCATGCCCGCAGCTTCCACATTTATGATCCACCATGGCATATTTAGCTTCACCATTCCCACAGTCATGACGTTGGTCCAGGTGCGATTTCCAGACCAACTTCTCTTCCAAACCAACCCTATACTCATGCTACTTATGTTGTGTAGCGTCATTGCTTATTCCTTGGCCTTCAGCCTCGAGCTGCTCCTCAAGGGCACTCCCCATGCTGACGTAGTGGGCCCTCGCAATTGGTCCATTGCGTCTGGCTCGCTCTC